AATACCTTGTTCTCATCTGTTAATAACCCAGCCTCTGCTTTAGTTCACTGGCCCAGTAAGTCTCACAGAGAATAGGAGATCTACCAGGCAGGGTAGATCTCTGAGTGCAGAGAGAGGAAGGGGAAGGACAAGTAGGACTTTAGGTACAGGAAGTGCTCTGAAAATTTTACTGAAGGGAATTGGCTTTATTTCTCCTGTGTGCCAGACTCCTAATATGCCTAGTAACTGATTAAAGACAGAGCCAGGTTCTGAATTTGCTCATTAGTACTCTTTGCACTCTACAGCATAGAATCTTAACTTCAATCTCCATGGATGTGGTTGAGTGGTAGAGCACTTGCCTACATGTTTGAGACCCTGAGGAATCTCAACTTCAAGCACTGTTGTTCTCAATCACACTTGTACTTGAACAAGAAAATGGTCTTCCTTCAAAGACTGGTGGGTAACAATGAGGACTGGCAGCTGACTTCCTTGTGCCCTTAAAAGCCCAACAAGCAGAACAATTATATAGGGGGAGGGATCAGTGGACTAGGTCAGGGAGGCTGAAAGACAAGGTATATTTATTGTAGGAGTTTTTGGATACTCCTGTTTTAAATGGCTTGAGTTTGTGATGGGCAACCAAGTGACAGACTATCAAAGAAGTCTTAGTGAGAGATCAAGTTTAGACATGTAGTAGTTACCTACACAGAGGGTACAATTAAACTATGAAAATGATAAACTGGCAGAATGGAGTATGGGTGTGGGGAATGGAAGGGTAAAGAGATAGAGGAAAGAGACCTACCAGAAGTCCTCTTAATTAATTAAATCATAGAATTTTAGATCAGGACAGGATATTAGAGATCATATAGTCTAACCACTTTAATTTTATAGATGAATAAACTTCAGCCCAAAGGAGTTAGAAGATTTTTCTAGAGTCTTACTGGTTAATAACTGACTTTAAATGGGAATTCTGGTCTCCTTCCTGCAAGTCAAGGACTAGTGTTAGTCAGCTACTCATCACTGTAGCAAAATACCTGAGATAATTTGAAAAGAGGAAAGGTTTTGGCTCACAGTTTTATAGATTATGGTAAGTTGGCTATGTTTTTGGAACTGGAGCAAGTCAGAACATTATATTGGGCAGCAGGTGATAGAATGAGACAGCTTACCAAGGGCATCTAAGAAGAGAGAGAAAAAGAAAGAGGAAGGGTCCAGAATCCAATACCTTCTCCATGAGCATGTGCTCAATGATCTAAATTCCTCCCACTGGGCTCCTCCCCCTAAAGATTCCACTACTTCCCAATAGAGTCACAGGCTGGAGACTAAGTCATTAACACATAGGTCTTGGGGGACACTCCAGATCCAAGCTATAGAGGGACTCAAAGACCTGAGTGTAAGCTAATCTCTTTCATCTCCTTTCAGCTAAATTGTCAAGGAACATCTATTGTAGGAGTTTTTAGATACTTCTGTTTTAAATGGCTTGAGTTTGTGATGGGCAACCAAGTAACAAGGACTATCACAGAGCCTTAGTGAGAGATCAAGTTTAGACATGTAGTAGTTACCTATATAGAGTATATTTTACAAATATACTTTTGTAAAATGCTTTTATTTTATCCAAATTCCACTTTTGTGGGGGGGGGAGGGATACTGGGGATTGAACCCAGGAGTGTTCTATTACTTAGTTACATCCCCAGGCCTCTTTTATTTTTTAAAATTTGAGACAGGGTCTTACTAAGTTCTGAAGCTGAACTCAAACATGGAATCCTCTTGTCTCAGACTCTTGAGCTGCTGTACTTATAGCCATGTGCCATTATACTCATCTCAAATTGCACTTCTCAAATTATATTTAACTAATAAAAGAAATTGAGAATAAATGTAATAAACCAAATAAAACCAGAAACCCCGGGGGGAAATAATTTCCCACCATTGAATCATAATATAAAACAATTCAGTCTTTGAAACTATAAGGACATCAATGCACCATTTTCTCAAGAAAAGATGCATTTGTGGGTTGGGGATGTGGCTCAAGTGGTAGCGCGCTCGCCTGGCATGCATGCGGCCCGGGTTCAATCCTCAGCACCACATACAAACAAAGATGTTGTGTCTGCCAAAAACTAAAAAATAAATATTAAAATTCTCTCTCTCTCTCTCTCTCTCTCTCTCTCTAAAAAAAAAAAAAGAAAAGATGCATTTGTGTAATTTCAGCGTATTTTATTTTTCCAATCCATTAAGAACCTTTTTTTATATTCACTCGTTATGGTTTGAATGTGAGGTGTCCCCCAAAAGCTCATGTGTGACACAATGCAAGAAGGTTCAGAGGAGAAATTATTGATTTTGAGAGTCTTAACCCAATCAGTGGATTAATCTCCTGAGAGGGATTAACTGTGGTTATTAAAGTGTTTGGGGCGTGGCTTTGGGGTATATATTTGTGTCCAGTGAGTGGAGTCTTTCTCTCTCTGTTTCCTGATCACCGTGGGAACTGCTTCCCTCTGCCACACTTTGCCATGATGTTTCGCCTCATGTCAAGCCCCAAGGAATGGAGGCAGCCTTCTACCTTCTAAGACCTCTGAAACTGTGAGTCCTAAATAAACCTTGTCTCCTGTATAATTGTGCGGGTTTGGTTCCTTAGTCATAGCAGTGAAAAAATCTGACTAAAACAACCTCTGAAGTTTACAGGTGTAAGTCTAAAACACCCAAAACTGTTATTTGTATCTATATTAAAACTTGCTAGACTATATTTGATGGTCTCCAAGCCATCCTGCGTCTCTTTCCACTGGATTATATGTGCACACATCTGAGTGACACTAAATGAGAACAACTTTAAAATTTCAAGTGAAAGTCTTGAAAAACTAACCAAAAATACTATATTTTTATTATAACTTCCAAAATAGTAAATTTGACCCATATTTATGGTTTTAGATTCTATGCACATTTGATTATTTTAAAACAATATAAAAATTGAGATTTCATAAAATACAAGAGAGAGACAAATCATAAACAACGAGTAAAACCATTCTAAATCTCAACTTGTTTCACTGAGTGAAGAATTAAAGGGTACTTTACGATGATGACTACACTGTATTGGTTATCTTCAAATTTAAAACAACTCTGGGTATATGGAATCAGGCTGTGAAGCAGTAGGTGAACTGATAATAGTTCACATGATATTAATTGCCCCACAAGGTATCAAGAATTAGGTATTGGGAACTTTTTTTTTTAATTGTGGTTAAAAAAAAACACACAGGAGCCAGGCACAGTGGCACACACCTGTAGTACCAATGGCTCTGGAGGCTGAGGCAGGAGGATCACAAGTTCAAAGCCAGCCTCAGCAAAAGTGAGGCACTAAGCAACTCAGTAAGACTCTGTCTCTAAATATAATACAAAAAGGACTGGGATGTGGCTCAGCGGTTGAGTGCCCCTGAGTGCCGCAGTCTGGCTGGGCACAATCAGGAGCCACTTGTCAAAAGAAACTAACTTTATTTTTAGAACCACACACGCCAAACAAAATAGTCTCTCAGGAAAAACCCTCAGAGCCTCAACTGCCACCACCGGCTTTCCACAAGCCTCTCTCTCCCACCTCCCACAATCCTCCTGCTCTTGAGGCCGATTGGCTGGGTCACGTGGGCGGAGCCAAAAAAGTCCCCCAATGAGCAGCTCCGTGGTCTGAAAGGGCAGGGAAACAGCCCAATGAGCATCACCGCAGAGGAGCCAATCAGCTAGATGTTGCTGGGGCCGAGGAGCCAATCAGCTAGATGTTGCTGGGGCCGCTGTGAGCCAATCATCAGCCAGCAGCTGGAAGTTTGCTGGGGCCCCTTTGGCTGTGGCTCTCAACATCTCCCCCTCTCTGTTTAAACAACAAGCATGTGGCTTAGGGACCTTGCCTGTTAGGCAGTCCAATTCAACATATGGTCCTTACCCGTCATCGGATGAACTGACCTCTAGGCGTCAGCCTCCTGTCTTAGGTTGGTACCACTGCAATTGGATCATACCCGTCACTGACTACCGGTCCAGCATACAGCCATACTTGTGGATAGGCCTTTGCACCTGTGGGGGGGTGAGGTTCTTTGCCTCACCTCTGTTGGCCCCCAAATTTTAGACCATCACTAGTAGAGGAGGATGCAAAATGCCATGACATTAAGCCAATTGAGGGCTCCTTTGAAAAATTGTACCACCGGTGACATCATCAGCAAAAATACCCCAACACTACCACAAGTCGCTGCACCAACAGATAGTTCACAATGCATACAGGTGAGCTCACAATGTGTCCAGGCAAGTTCTGCAAGCAGTTCAGTGATGGCTATTGTAGAAGCTGTAGATTGGTTTTATCTTTGACTTCACCAGCACTGGGATGAAGATAGGAATTCTGGCAATAATGGCTAAAGAAAAAATTATGTAACATTCCAGAAGGCACTAAAAGAAAACAATTTTCTTAACAATTTACATTGTCTTCACCGGCACTGGGATGAAGATAGGAATTCTGGCAATAATGGCTAAAGAAAAAATTATGTAACACTACAGAAGGCACTAAAAGAAAACAATTTTCTTAACAATTTACATTATCTTTAAGAGAATTATTAAATATAATGAAAAGGAAAGGTGAAAGTAAACAAACAGATCTGTTAACCTTCTTTTTTGTTTACATATTAAAACAATCCTCAACATTTTTTCAAAGGAGCCCTCAATTGGCTTAATGTCATGGCATTTTGCATCCTCCTCTACTAGTGATGGTCTAAAATTTGGGGGCCAACAGAGGTGAGGCAAAGAACCTCACCCCCCCACAGGTGCAAAGGCCTATCCACAAGTATGGCTGTATGCTGGACCGGTAGTCAGTGACGGGTATGATCCAATTGCAGTGGTACCAACCTAAGACAGGAGGCTGACGCCTAGAGGTCAGTTCATCTGATGACGGGTAAGGACCATATGTTGAATTGGACTGCCTAACAGGCACGGTCCCTAAGCCACATGCTTGTTGTTTAAACAGAGAGGGGGAGATGTTGAGAGCCACAGCCAAAGGGGCCCCAGCAAACTTCCAGCTTCTTGGTGTATATTCAGTGACAAAGAAATTCAGCATAGTTAGGACGACTGTGTGGCCACTGAACATGTAATCGCCACAAGTGTGAACGCCAGTCAGGGTCATACCAAATCCACTCCAAATGGCAAAAGCCCGGTGTAATTTTTCCCATACACTGCCATATATCTTTCCAGTGCACTGCAGGTGCTGTCCTGGCACGGAGAGGGAGGTCACAAACATGGTAAAGCAGCGAAGCAAGAATACAGTGCCCATCAGACTACAGAGCCTTCGCAGAAGGATTGACCTGTGCTTGTGAAGAAGAAGAACCAGGAGCCAAATATAACATAGAATCATGCCACATACTTCTGTCATGGCAAAGGCCCATGGGATTCTAGGAACACTGTCTAAGAATATATCTGGGAGTGGTGGATAGGTCTGCATGTCAGGCACTCGTTCATGGACTATAACCATAATGAAAGATGTAAACCCGAATACTATAAAAACATATATACAACTTAGTATGGTCTTCCAGTACTCTGGGTCCAATCTTCGAACAGGATGTTTGTTTTTGCCATTCATGTACTGGTACTCATCAGAATTCAAGTCAGTGATGGGTCCATCACAGTCATGTGAAAGTTCACCATTACTGACTTGAATTCTGATGAACCTGAGTTCATTATTTTTATTATAACTTCCAATCCCCAGTACCAAAAAAAAAAAAAAAACATAGGGCTGGGACTGTAGCTCAAAGGTAGAGCACTTGCCTCACATGTGTGAGGAACCGGGTTTTATTCTCAACACCACTTGTAAATAAATAAATGAAGGTCCTTTGACAACTAAAAAATAATTTAGAAAAACACATAACTTAGAAATTTTGTTTGTTTGTTTAAATACTGGGAAATGAACTCAGGGGTACTCTACCACTAAGCTACATCCCCAGTCTTTTTTATTTTTTATTTTGTCTCAGTCTTATGAGTAGCTGGGGATTCTAGGTGTGTGCCACTGTGCCCAACTATAGCATAAAGTTTATAATCTCAGCCATTTTAAAACACATGGTTCGGTATTGTCAAGTATATTCTCACGGTTGTGAAGCAGATCTCCAGAACTTATTCATATTATAAAACTGAAACTCTGTAATCAATAAATAACAACTCCCTTCAGCCTCTGGCAACTCCCATCCTTTTTTTTTTTTTTTTTTTTAATAACAGGGATTGAACTCAGGGGCACTCGACACTGAGCCACATCTCCAGCCCTATTTTGTCTTTTTTTTTATAATAGCAATTATGGTTTTATTGTGTCCAACATATCAATAAATGAACTTTGAGCCTGACCCTGTAGATGCCCTCTCCTTGCCCAACCCTAGACACCTGCCCCTACTTACCTCTCCCATTCTGGAGAGAAGGGACGTGTACTGGATGTCACCTGGCTAGCGTCTCACCTGTTAGTTGTGCACACCAGAAGCATGAAGAGGGCACTGGAAGGTTGGAAGTTTTAAGCTCACTTGATAGCACATCTGCGTGAGTAGCTACCCTACCCAGCCCCAGCAGAAGGCCTGGGGGCTCCTAGGAAGCTGCTAGTGATTTGCCTGGTTCTGTTCAGACATCTGAGGTAAGAAGGGCTAGAGAAGCACCTTGTCCGGCCTTGACCATGGCAGCAAGCATATAAATATAAGTGATATAAATAGTCCAGCTACTAGCAGAAAACATCCAGAGGAAGGGATGAAGACCAGCCCTCAAGGGCAGGTGGGTAGATTGGGCACTGAGTGGCCACTCTGGCAACTGAGAGTGGAGAGTGTACTCCTGCCCCCTGGTGGTTAGAAGAAGAGATGTGTCCAGCCTCCAGGGCTGGCAGGCATAGCACCTTGAAGAGGGAGAAGCAAGGGGGCCAGTCACAGGTGGCTCAAGCCTCTGGCCTTAGAAAGTCATCCAACTGGAAAGGATGTAAATCATCTGAGCAACTCCTGTCAACTTCCAGATGAGAAAACCAACACCTAGAGGGGAATGTAGTTGCTGGGTCATAGCTTGTTGCTTAGCCCAGTCATCTCTCCATTCATCCTCAACCAAAGTGGCCCATCTGCTCTCCAAACAGGAAGAGGAAGTGAAACAATTGGGAGCAGGGGAAGAATTCATACAGAAAATGGTACTCCTAGGTAACTAGCCTCTTCCAGCCAAGGATAGGCCGGGAAAAAGGTTAGGTGAGGGATGGAACTTCTCCTAATGCTAACACATGTAAACACATGTACACCACGCATGCAATACCTGGATACCCATTCTCAAAGGCCAGAATAGTGCCTTAAGAGAGAGGGAGAGAGAGAGAGAGAAATGTGTGTGTGTGTGTGTGTGTGTGTGTGTTACTGGCAGGAAGCTCAGGAAGTTGGGACCCTATAATAGGACCAAATCCTAAACTGGACACTTTTAGTATGATAGCTCTATTTCCTGTCCAGGGCAGAGAGAAGGGATGATGACCATAACTCTATGCAACAGCAGAGAAAAATCTGACGTAAGTTGGAAGGTAAGGAGGGGAGAGTATGGGAAGAGGGCACTAATCAAAATCATCTGCATGTTTTTAAGAGTTCAGAGAGAGAAGTGGCATGGGCCTGAGATAGCCTAGAGGCCTAGGCTAGTGGGGTGCTCCCTCTGCTGACTGGGAAGGACAGATTGCCTACATACCCGCCTTGCACTTAGCCTATCCTCTAGAGTTCAGAAGGGTTGGGAGGGTGAAGAAGGAATGGTGACTCTTCAACCATCCAAGGAGCCACTGCCCTTGTTCTTGCAGCTGAGAGGGAAGGCAGACTTGCTCTGGGGCTGGGTCATTTTGCTGGCCAGATAGACAAAGGGCTTCAGGAGGGAGCGGCGGTGAGCCACTGATACCTCCCACAGCTTCACCTTCTCTGACTTGGCCCAATGCTGAGCCTCATCTGGGTCTACACGCCACTGTTCCTGTAGGTCACACTTATTGCCCAGGACCACAATGGTGACCTCCTTCTTATCCTTAGATTTGTCAGTCTCCTTCTTGAGTAGCTCCACACGCTGAAAGGACTCTTGGCTATCTGTGCTGTAGACTAGGACGTAGCCATCCCTGCAGGAGAAGCAGTGCCGGGGCAGCTCAGCCCCATCTCGAAGCCCCCAGGTGTCGTAGAAACGCACCTGCTCCCGCACTCCTGGATCTGTCTCAATAGAGCCTGCGTAGATATCTTCCTGGGTTTCAATCATCTCAGAACCTCCTATGGCTCCCGCAGAACCCCTACCGGGCCCCTCCCAGCTGGCAGAAAACAGGGCAGCCGCAGCACCGCCCCCTATTTTGTCTTTTATTTAGAGACAAGGTGTCACTGAGTTGATTAGTGCCTCACTAAATTGCTGAGGCTCACTTTGAACTCACTATCCTATGTCTCAGCCTCCTGAGACAGTGGGATTACAGGTGAGTGCCACTGTGCTCAGCTTCGCAGCCCTCATTGCACTTTGTATCTCTATGAATTTGACTATTTTGGATTCCTCATATAAATGGGATTATAGATTGTATTTGTTTTTCTGTGACTGGCTTATTTCATATAAGAATGAGTGAATAAGAATACATGAATGAGAATACATATTATGCAATGTGAATATATATTATATAGAATGAAGAATATATACTATATAACAGGGACACACAAATATTCAGTCCATAGCACATGTATATATTTTACACATATACATTCAGGACTCCTCCTTTTATTTCTTCCTTTTTATTTTCATAGTCATCTATTATAAGCCAAAGGGGGGGGGATGCTCTTTTAATGCATTTTACATATTTTTCTTGATTGCTGGGGAATATGCTGGGTTGAAAGCCGAGCATTTGTAATGTAGCCTACTCCTGATGTGACCCATAGAGATTGCACCTTTAAAATCCTAGCCTTGTGAATTGGCCGGCCACCATCAGAAAATGCAAGAAATGAACCTTAAGTAAAAATGGACTGAAAGGCTGAAATAAAGATGTTCCATTAAGTATAAAAATGTGCTGTTGTAAGTTCTGTGACAATCAAGTAAAACCATGAGGTCGACCCACTGGACGGTACATGCAAGACACTGAATTCTGAGGGTTGATGCTTTGTTCAATGGAAAGGCACTGAAAGATGATAGGAGTGGAGGTTGGTTTATCCTAGGTACCTGAAGTCAGAGCCAACACAGCCAATGTTTCTCTGAGTTGTGCGGTAGGAGTAGAGGGGAGTGCACTATCTCTAATAGTGGAATTTATTTACAGAGTGAAACAGCAATCTTATCCTTGAGTCTTACATGGGCTAGCAGACATCACTGTGGGTGAGGGTATGATTCCCAGGATGTTTTCCATCAATCAGGAGGAGTGAAAGAGCTGGCCACAGATAGTTATTCATCTTCCCATTTCCTCGTTGCACTGTATGCTACCTGATGGTTGGGGAACTGTCTTATTCAGCTTTGCACTTCCTAATGCCAGCTCCACTGCCTAGCACACAGTCAGTACTCAGTGAATACTACATGTGGAGTATTACTTGGTGGAGTACTACACAGTAATCAGTGAATAAAACACTCATTCCCTGAGGAACCTCTTGATTCCCATAGGTCATGAAGTCTTCATCACAAAAAAGGACTGTTCTTTGAAGATCTGCAAGGTGGGTAGGGGCATCTGCGCTAACCCCCCCCCCCCCCAAGATCTTTGCAGCCCATCCATCATTCATCACTTTATTTTACTTGCCCTTTTAATTTCACAAGGATGACCAACCTTGACCAACTTTCCACCATGGCTTATACCATGTGGCTCAGCACATTCACAGACACCTAATGAGGAAACCTGGCTCAACCACAGCTTTGTAGCTGCCCTCAGCCAGCCCCCACAAGTGGTTCCTACCTCTAGCCAATCTCAGCATTTAAGTCCTGCTATGATTTGAATTAGTATCCCCCAAAGGTGTTTATGTACAAGCTTGGTCCCCAGGGTTAGTGGTATTAGGTACTGTGGACCTTTAAGAGGTAGGGACTAGTAGGAGTTTCTTAGGCTGCTGCGAGAATGCTCTCAAAAGGGATAGTGGGGCCATGGTCTCTCTGTCTCTCCTCTCTCTCTCTCTCTCTCTCTCTCTCTCTCTTATATATATATATATATATATATATATATATATATATATATATATATGACTGCTTTCCCTAACACTCATTCCCACAGTGATTGCTGCCCTTAATAGAGGCCCAAACCATGGGGCTGCCTTGTCTTTGTCTTGAACCTTCAGAACCAAGAGCCAAAATAAATCCTCTTTACTTCGTGAGTAGCTTGTATCGGGTATTTCATTATAGTGTTGCAAATATGACTGATACAGGCTCCCATCTTTGTTTCCTGAGGACATAATGACTTTTACCAAATGATCCATAGGACATACAAATGTCCTATAGATCATTTGGTAAAATTTCAAGACAAAAGTTCCGCAATTGGGGGCTGGGGCTGTAGCTCTGTTGCAGAGAGCTTGACTATCACGTGTGAGCACTGGGTCTGATCCCTAGAACCACATAAAAATAAACAAATAAAATAAAGGCATGCTGTCCATCTACAACTACAAAAATAAATTTTTTAAAAGTCCTATAGTGGAGATCCAACATGGCGGCGGGCGCGGAGAGATCAAGTCTCTGACCTCTTCAGCTGCGCAGGCATAGGGAGTCGTAAACCGTCTAAATGCTGTTTGCTCAGGATCACTAGGCAATGCTGAGCTGACGTGGATCTGGGGCGAACAGTCTGGGCCTCTCAGAACACACACTGAGCCCAGATCGGCTGAATTCAAGCTCCCGTTTGCCTGCTTCTCGCAGACAAACTGCTGTGACTCAGCACTAAACAATCCCGCTGAAACAACTGGTCAGCCCTTCTGCACCTACGGAGGTAAATGCCAACCGAGCCTTCATAGGCAGTGGCCACAGGATTGAAACGGGGCTTGGGAGAGCCAGTCAGGACCCACCCGTTGCATTGGTCACCCGGCAAAGGGAAACAAACTGTCGCCATTTGCATGGGATACCACCATGGCAGAGAACTGACGTTACCAGAATGCGGCGGAGGAGATAACTTCATTGAAACCAGTGGCGACAGGTGTGCAACCCCCTAGCCTTCCCTCTCCACACAGCGGGGAAACCTTAAGGGCCCCTCCCAGCTCTCCCGTGAGCGCGATAGCCAGACCGAGGGAATCAGGAGTGGCGCGGGACCCTCAGTGCGGAACTCCCAGCTACAGCTCCCACCAGTGCTAACAACTGAGGTCTCTTGCACCAGCTACCGGGGGCGTGGCTACCGGAGGGCAAGCAAATTTCGCTGAGCATTCTCAGCCCCAAGCTCTACAAACTTAGGGTCTGAGGGAATGGCAAACAGGGAGAGTGTGCCCAGTCATTCATGAAAACAGGGCTCCCGGGAGCAGCAGACCTGGCATGTAGCCAGTATTGTGGTGAGCGTCACCAGTGAGCGGGGCCTGGCTTGAGGAAAAGTGG